GACATGACAAAATATTTTTTGTAAAGTATTTACCATGTCTTACATTTTGTTTGTAAATAAAACCATAATGGAACAGGACTAACGTTACTTCATTATCTCCGGTGATTAGTTACAAAAACAAATATAGGTAAAACGGAGTATTAAATCTTTTACCGTATTTAAAAGTCATAAAAAACAGTACATCTTGTACCACACCATATTTAGATTCAGGTTTACCTTCACATATGATATAGGACTATAAGGTATTAGCAAAAGTAGGCATTAAATATTTACTAATTAAAAAGGGGTTTTTTTTTTAGCTTTGTAACTTAAATAGTAAATTTGTCTTCTAATTAACTCAAGAACTTAACTAGGTAGTTTAATTTACTGGTAGCCAGGCACAGACAAAAACGGTATGTAGATAGAGTAGACAGGGCCAAGACGAGGAGACCACGGAGGAGTGGCACAGAACATATTATCATGAATGGCAAGAAGGCTGGGACACGTCGACTAAGAGAGGATGGACAAGGAAGCCTTCCATCAAAGACGTAAAGGGTTGTAGACTCGGGAAATTTGGGAATGTAAATTTACACTTGTACAAATTCTTACTTGTTTCTTTGGATTATAGGTTTAAGATCAGACGGTACCCGGAGTGCGTGGACTGCAGAACTTCCGTTGACGATGCAGAGCATGCTCTTTCCATGAGCGACAGGCGGTGGAGTCCAAGGAGTGCACTAGAGGAGCACTTTCTGCAAGGAGTGACTTCGAGCCGGATTGTATCATTGTTCTGACGATGGAATCAATGGACAAATGTAACGCAGTGAAAGAATTCGCTTCATCGGACTCGAAGAAGAGAAAGGACGGACCAAGCGACTAGTGGCACATCGATGGCCTCTCACGTGGGAACAGTACTTAATAAGTCTTGTTCTGTGTGCGCCGAAGGCGGAGTTTTGAAGGGTAGAGCCTTCAATTATATGTACAGGCAGACGCCTTAGTGTTAAGATTATTTGTTGTAAAGTATTGTTATAAATAAACGATGCGGACACGAGGGGAAGGGCTGCCCTATATAGGCGAAATGCCCCCTCGTAGCACCGTGGTTTATACACAAAAAAAAATTGTTTAATTTACTGTTGAGAATAAATCACCCATCGAGTTAAAGACGTTTTTCAACATTTTGGTTTCAATTTTAATTGCTTTACCTAAACACACGATTTAAAATTAAAAATAAATCTAATATTAGTACTAAGTACTGCAACAATATTAATAACTAGAGTAGGTACGGATTTTTAGAAAGTTTTATTTTTTTTATTTTCCTCTAAAACGAAGACGGTATGTCAGCTATAAATTTTATTTTTACTACATCGAAGCAAATACACCACATTTCGTTTTGCTTTTTTTAGTATTTTTGGAAGGTTTGTAATTTGTTTCAAGGAAACGGCTCAATTTATTTTATCTCGTTATGTTTGATTTCATTTATCGATTTATCTATAAAATTAGGTAGGTACCTGTTCAGTAATTTCTTGACAACCTTTCACTGGGTGAAATTTTTTTAGGATTCGTAGAGCTTTATACCTCTATTTTCAGTGCTTTTCTAGAGTATTTTAGTGTGAATAGAAATGCAATTTTATTATATTACATTTTTAAAAAAAAAATAATGGTTTAAATTGGATGATTTTCTTAAAGCTCTTTTAAAGATTTGTAGAGCTTCATCGCTTTATTTTAAAGTTAGTGAAGTTAGAGGGAGATTAAACAGCACTAATTCAAGCTACATCACCAAGTTTTAGTGCTCAATTAGTGCTTTCAGGATATACATAAATAAATATTAAGTGCTTTAGTATTTGATTTTTTTATTGCAGTAAACTCCATACTCTGTTAATAATTAATAATACCATAAATTTGATATATTAAACGTTTCTTGATAAAATAATATTGTACATAGATTGGCACAAAAATACACTTTATTATGTTATCCACACACTATTTAAAGAAGTACATTAACTTTTTTTTAAATAGATAGGTCAATATTTTTTCCATATTAGGTACCTTTAAACTTACCGAATTAAATTTATAATTATATTTGTTTGTTAACTACCAACTTTTAATTTAACGATATTCTGTTGACTTAACTTGACTTTACTTGAACTAATTATTTACATCAAATTACCAACCTTTGATTTTTCGATTACCTGCACATATATAGTGAAATGACATAATGTTGACATAATAATACATATAGGTTAATATAGGTTTGAACTATAATAAGTAATTTCAAACAGATTTGTACAATATTAGGGCAATTATTAGGGTTGCTTACTGGAACTTTTAAATTTTAATTTAGCAATGGTGATATGTACTACTGAGTGCAAACCACATTATTATACAGCATAAGGAATATAAAGTTATAAAAAATTGAGTCATTATGTTACATTTCATTTTTGTTTTATTATTTGTTTATCAATTAATACGTACCGTGGTACCAACATCTATGTATAAGTGGTTTTTACTACATCTGGTTTAAAATATGAGAAAAAAGATTGTGAAGTTGCCCCCCTCCACATTGTCCAATTTTTTTCCAAACTTATAGTTTCCAAACCCCATAGTTTTGAAAATATTTTAAAAACCAGGTTTCATAATTTTAAAACATTTATTTTAGCTATAAATAACTTGAAAAAACAGACAAAATACAGTTAATAATAATATCTGTTAAAATAAATTACAATTAATCGGTAGGCAACACAGGCGGCTGCAATTATTGTATTATAAAACAAGCAAGTGCGTCGTTTGCGGGATGCAAAGCATATTATACTTTTGCAGGAATGCTCTTTATATTGTAGTGATTTTTTTTTATATTAGATTTAAGGACTCTTGTTTAACTCATCTTGTTACGTTTTGATTTTTTATGGTTTCAGGATAAAATTGATAATTTTTTTTGAATTTAAATTATAAATTTGGCTGTATTTAAGTTTTTTGTACATTTTAAATATTTAAACTACTCACAAAAATTTAATTTAAAACATTTGGGCATTTTTTTTTTTAATACTAAACAAGGTTTGGAAATAACGCTACTGACGACAAGATAACTTATAATGGTAAAAACGCTAAAAATGGGATTTTATTTTCTAACGCATTGTTCATCACCATAGAAACGAATAAAAATAACGATTTTAGTCATTTTGTTGTAATTTATAATATTAATTCAACTTACAGGCTATAATAGAATATAATAACAATACAAAATATCTAGACTGACAGTCTCCGCTCAGAATTGTTTTTCGTATAAAATGATAATATCATTGTATATTAGGTATGTTATCATTAAATTCAAATTTAATACATTTCATTATACAGTGACCCACTTGTAACCTACTGTACAGCAGAGCGACTTCCACTTAATCGCTTTTTATTTAAATTTTAAATTTGTTAAATGTTGTAAAAATTTAACTTTAAATGATTATAAAAAAAAAAAATGTGCATATATTTTTATTATTTTTCGATTGCTAATTAAGCAATATAATATCAGTAGCTTTTTATAAAATTTTGACGCTTTTTGGCTCAACAAATAAAATTGTATTGATATTTACAGAAAAAAAAACTAAAAAAAAGTTTAAAAATTTAAATTTGAAACAGTAAACAGTCTGTAAACAACTCAAAACTATACAAAATATTTTGAAAAGATATCATGTATAGAAATTGATAAAATTAACATATGATATATATCTCAGTGGTTTACGTTTATTTGCTTTTGAATTACAAAAAAAAAAAAAATCGTTAAATGATAAATTGTGACTGTACATTATTAAAATTATTTGAATATCATTGCAACAAAACATTAAGAGCCTTGTATTAAATTTTCAAGCTTCATTACCCAACAAATAAAATGTTATTAACATTCATAGAAAAAAAACTAAAAGAAATGGAAACTGAAAATGTCAGTAAACGGCGCAAGCAGTTCAGAACAAATTCAAATATTTTGCAAATTTTATCGTGTGTAGGAAAATGCTAGCATAAACAACCAGTAAAAATGTCAAGTAGGTACCTACGGTCATTTGTTTTTGAGTTACACTAACCGATTTGGAATAAAAATTTCCAGTTTTCCTTAATTTTGATGTAGATTTTCCCTGCTAATATGAAAACTATTGGACATTTTTGACCTGCCGAATGCACAAACTAGATCAACTTTCCCATCAAACAAGATACTGTAGAAGAAATCTAAGCAGTTTCACTGCCCCAAAAGGTGGTGACAGACACAAAAAAAAAACACCAATCATTGTAACATCAATATCGCTCCGCTCAAAATGCAAAATTTAAAATGACCGAAAAATAACTCGACACAAGCCCAAATATTTTTAATATTGTATTAATTATAGAAAACAATAAAATAAACATAATATAGTGTAAATGTCAAGTGCCTACGGTTATCCGTTTTTTAAATTATAACAAAAGACTTAGCAGTGGAAGGTGGAACTAACCCAAAGTTATTCTCTGAGCATTGAGTATTTGAATAGGTGGACCCCAGCTGGCAGTGGCGTAGGCAGGGGGGAGCTAACGGGCTGAAGCCCTCCCACTTCCAGAATTATTATTACTTTTTCTAATCCTAGAAAAGCTATACAAATTTAATATTTTATACATTTTGAACTACAAATTAATTTGTTGTTTTGTCAAAATTTGAAATTTAAATGTTTATGAAATATAATCTTGCTTATATTATGTATCGTTAATATTTTATTACATAAAGTCCAAAATTAAGATGTATATATATGCTTAGATAAGTGTATATTATATATATATTTTATATAATATAGTAAAACACTAATTCTCTATTTACATTATTGAATAGAATATACTATGTATTTATTTTTTCTGATTTGTCCAAAGCATAATTAAGTTACATACAGTTGACAGACAACAATACATAGCAAATTAGTATATTACATATTTTTGAATTAAAATTAAATTTAAGTTGTATAAAAATTTAAAACATTGTATCAAACTTAACAAACTGTTTAAAACAAAAAACAGTTTTAATTTTTCTTCAAGAAATGTTCATTCACTCTCTTCTTCGTCCCAGTCTGAGGTAAATGTATACTGTATATGTTACTTTTTCTTCTCATAGAGCTACTTTGGCCATTATTCGTGTTTTCGCTGTCAGCATTAAGGTTACTGTACAAAAAAAAAAACAAATAATCAATAGTAATAGTTAAATATTTAACAAATGTCAAAATTCAGTAATTGTACAATTGATAATAGAAAAACTTCTAACATAGAAAACAAAGTTGTTAAATTTACTACTATAATATACTGAAAATCTATTTTATTAATATTCAATGTTGATTTGTCAGAACAAACTATTTCCATAAACTTTTATTTTATTATTTACCTAAGTCTGATATTCAGGGATTCATATGAAGAAGTAAAAATAAGATTACTTAATCTAGACAAACTAACAGCTTGTCTACCAAAAATCTAAATTGTAATATTTAATTGTAATTGTAAATTTCTTGGTGTCAATAGAAAAAAATTTCAATTAAGTAGGTAACACATTATATTTCAAAATATTTATTTTGTTAACTCATGATAAAAATCTTAAGCTGAAACATACTTGAAAAACATTAGCATTAATAATAACTATTTGAAAATTATACAATTTTATAATTTGGATTCTACCTAATGTTGGAACTTATATTTAAAGTATACACTAAATGTATTTATTCAATTTGCTCTACTTATAATAAATAACTATCTGCATATATTTTTTAGCTGTAGTAAATTCAACATTTTAAAACACAACTCTTACTTAAACCTCAACTGGTCGCACGAGGTAAATAATCTCCCAGTGGGTTTAAAATATATAAGTGTTTTCAATAATTGTCTGTAATAGAGATTTGTAATTCTGATTAACTTATCAAAATCACATCATAATTCGATAATGACATTTACTTCATCAAAAACTATTTTAGTTTGTTCAGTACAAATGTGTCAAGAACAATATTTATCTGTTTGGAGAATATTTACTCCAAGCGACTGAAAAATTAACATTATAATAGTGTTGTATTACCTTACCGTTTTTATTATTTTTTAAATTTTATTTATAATACAGTAGGTACAGTAGGTACACATGCAATTTAAAATTTAAATTATATAATTATTTGTATATATTAATTATAGGTATTGCTAGTAAAAGTAATTTTTCAAGTATATTTCATATTATTGAAAATGTTTACACGGTGTGACCAAAAGTAAAAAAAAAAATTACACGACTAGTGACAAAAATTTAACAAAAGTTTAATGTTAAACTGAATGTGTTCATTAAACTATGAAAATGTTAACTCCTGAACAATTCATGACACTTATATTTTGATTGTATGCAATTCAACTTTTAAAATTTGCCAGTTATTAAAATTGTTATGGATCAAGCCAATAAAATAAAGTTAGTTTAAGTACAAATAAATTATGTATGCAAAGGAAATTTAACATTACTATTTCAATAATACACTAAGTCCAGCGAGAGTTTAAGTGTGGATTGAGCATACAATTTTAAGGCTCTTACGGTTAAAAGCTCCAATATCCCCTTATCCTGTATCTAACTTTTTATAGGTATGTACAGCCGAATAATATAAACAAAAATATTTTCACAACACAGCAAATATATATATAATAATAAAATAGTACTATTTTACCGGTTGTATCGCCTCTGCATCTCCATTTCCATTTGTTTTTCTTTCCTATTTTTTTCAAAGTCCTAAATATAAATATATCTAATGAGTTGAAAAAATATTTTAGAATAACAGATTAAATAATTACTTTAAGATGTTTTATTAGAACTTTAGCAATAAAAATGCTTTCTACAGTGCCAACAATCTCAAAAAGAACATAACCCTCTTTACGATCAATGGTAGGTTGAAGTTCATTATCACCTTCAATTTTTATTCTTTTCTACAACAAAAAGAAAAAAAAAATATAACAGTTTAAATTGAAATACTAATACTAATAACAATCAACAATCATCTAAAAATGTAAATACTATTTACTAAGACATATGTAGTATATTTTAATAATGTCAAAATAAGAATAAACAAATATACTTATTAGTATTATAATGTTCTACCAATTAAAAAATAAAAGCATTAAAATCCTCTTATGGTATACCTAAAGTTAAAGCCCAATACTAATTGGGTAATTAGGGGTAGGTATTTTTGTTGTTAAATAATACAAACTGTATTAAATAGTTTTATTATTTAAATATCATATACAAAAGGTATAGATTAAATATATCATACCTATACAAATATGGATTTCTAGAGGCTTAAGTAATAGGTATAAATTGAAAATAGAAAACTATTTTATGAATAATAGATAGTTATTACCTACTAAAATCATGCATGAAACGAAGAAAGGGGAAGCCTATTACATATTTTTGTAGTTACGATTTTAAAAACAAAATCAACTCTAGGTATTAGCTATTTGGATCTGTAGGTATAAAGCCTAGTAAAACAATTTTGATATAGGTAAGTGGTAACTGTGAAATTTAATATTTAACCTGACTTATTAAGACATGATTTTCTTAAGGGTAATCTTACTTTTGAAATAGGTACCAGTATTATTCATGGTAAAAAACAAACATAGGTTCTTAATTGCTTATGTACCTACTTGTAATTTTGATTAAAATGCTTAAATAAAGTATTATAATAAAATATAGATGAGAGATACTCACTCGTCCGGAAAAGAAACTAGAACTTCATTTTCCATTACACCCGTAACAAAGCCCTAAAATGTATAAATCAAATTAATTATCATTCTCAAAAATTAAGAATAATCTAACCACCTCATAATAGGCGCCGTTCCCAAAGAGTACCTCGACCTTATTGTCGTCCATCGCTGGGCCGGGGATGTGTGGCTTTGCTGATGACTCGTCGTCGCTTTTGCTTGTCTGGTTGTTTGGCGGAAGCGGTGTCAGTGTCGGAGCAGCGATGAGGCGTTTTCGACGGTGGTGCCCGACGCCGGTGAGCTCAATGCTTACACAGCGAGGATGTCAGACGTGAGTCACCACCCACTGACCACAACTGAGGGATATGAAAGCGCGTGCGATACGACTTCGGCAGCGTTGCGGTCTACAGTAATAATTAAATTAAAATTAAAAATAAATTATATTATAGGTATCATCCCGATAACTACCTATCCATTTTCGGCTGCTCTTCGTTCGGTCGGCGAGTGAGTCAGTGAGAGTTGAGAGAGTGAGTGATGCTTGCGAATGCGACCAGACGAAAATGCGTTAGGTATAGACATAATATTATTAAACATATTTAATATATTATATTCTCGTTGTGTCGATGGTTTACACTAAAAAGTAACAATTTAGAAGGATAATTAAAATAAATAGTATTATCTAGCGCACGGCCGACGTCGTTATCATTATCAGTTATCACCGCGATTTTATTATCACTTTCTTTTCAAAATAATATAGCATTCCTTTTCCCATCGTTATGTATAATATACTACATGTGTAGTATATTATACATCTCGATGCCTTTTCCTTACCTTATTTCCAACCAAGTTGCATATTATTATTATTAAAAGTCCGTTCCAAGTATAATTGGGTATAACTCGTATAACATGCTACTTACAGCTACTTCGTCGGTGTGGTATGCTACCTACCATAAAATGATACCTACCGAAAAAAAAACGTTTACCGATTATTGATCAATAACAAATTAACAACGATATTAATTACAATTTATTACCAAACGATTTATTAATACGCATTGTCAAGTACCTAGGTACTTTATACAATTTCTATACGTCATTATAATAATATATTATAACACATTATATTATAATAAATTTATACATCATCCCAGAAAACATCTAATAAGCGGTGTTGCGCAGTGGCGGCTCGTGGTGTTCAAAGTAGGCGGTGTGCGATTATTGCAAAAGTTTATTTAAAAAAAAACTAGGTAGTCTGTTTTAAGTATAAATGTAATAAGTAAAATAATTATTAGCATTTTTAATTTCGAGATTATACAGTTTTAGAAAATAATACAGTCATATTAGTCAGGCGTATAGTAGGTATATTATTTTGTTTATTGTCACAACAGACAACATGTCCGTGACTAATAACATTAAAATAAAAAAACTACCGGGAAATTTTCACTTTTGACCCCCTAAAGTACCAACTAGATTCACTTTTCTATCAGAAAAGCTGCTGTTGAAGAAAATCCAAGCACTTTGACTGTCCTAAAACGTGATGACAGACCAAAAAAAAAAATAAGGTGCTCTGCTGTACAGTAGGTTACAAGTGGATTACTGTATAATGGATAGTATTAAATTTGAATTCAATGATATAATATCATTGTATAAAAAAATGATTCTGAGCGGAGAAGGTATGTCAGTCTAGGTAAAAGACATATTATATACTTATCTATGGTATTAAAAAAGGTGGGGAAGTGGATGTCGCTATGCTGTACTGTAGGTTACAAGTGGGTCACTGTATAATGGATGGTATTAAACTTGAATTCAATGATATAATATCATTGTATAAGAAAAACGATTCTGAGCGGAGACGGTATGTCAGTCTACTAAAATCGTAATTCTTGGTTTAAATATGAAATTTTGTCTAAATTTGAAATTAAAATGTCTGTAAAAAATAAGTGTGTCTATATATTTTTTAGATTTTTTGGTTACAGTATGAATTATTTAAGAGAATCTTTGTTTTAAATTTTCAACTCTTAGTTATAAAAACTGAACATTTTATAATTTTTTAATTCCAACGATTGATAATTTTCGAGATTTTGATAAATTTTGTCAAAATTCCAACTTTAAATGCTTATAAAAAAAAATCGTGCCTATGTATTTTTAATATTTTTCAACTGATATTGTAACAATATATCAGGAGCCTTGTATTAAATTTTTACACTTTTTGGCCCAACAGATAAAACTTTATTGATATTTATAGAAAAATAAACTAAAAAAAAGGTGGGCAAGTGGGTGTCGCTCTGCTGTACAGTAGGTTACAAGTGGGTCACTGTATAATGGATGATATTAAATTTGAATTCAACGATATAATATCATTGTATAAGAAAAACGATTCTGAGCGGAGACAGTATGTCAATCTAGGTATAAGACATATTATATACATTATACATATCTATGGTACTAAACCAAAATTTGACCTATAATAGGTAGGTACCTATAATAAATTCCAAAATTAATCATATCAAAATATCCATTAGGTACTTATAACGCGTTATACATCAACAAAAACCGTGATACTATCATAGATATATAATAGTACACTTTAGAAGTTTCAAGTACCCACGAATAATATTATTCAATCACAACAAAATAACTAAAATAGTTATTCTAGGTTTTTTAATATGTAATTTCGTCCAAATTTGAAATTAAAATGTCTGTAAAAAATAAGTGTGTTTATATATTTTTTAGATTTTCTGGTTAAAGTATGAATTATTTAAGAGAATCTTTGTTTTAAATTTTCAACTCTTAGTTATAAAAACTGAACATTTTATAATTTTTTAATTCCAACGATTGATTATTTTCGAGATTTTGATGAATTTTGTCAAAATTCCAACTTTAAATGCTTATAAAAAAAAATCGTGCTAATGTATTTTTAAAATTTTTCAACTGATATTGTAACAATATATAAGAAAGCTTGTATTCAATTTTCAGACTTTTTGGCCCACCAAATAAAATTTTATTGACAATTATAAAAAAAAAAACTAAAAAATTGAAAACTGAAAATGTCCCTAAACAGCTCAAAAAGAGTCAAAATATTTTCAAAATTGTATGATGTATAGAAAATGCTAATTTAAACATTCAGTGAAATTTTCATGTATCTACAGTTGTCCGTTTTTGAATTACAACAAAATTAGGAAATCGCTACATGAGAAATCGAGTGAATATCCAATGTTGTAAAAATTTTAATTTCAAACGCTCATAAAAATTTAACTTGACTGTCCGGTAGAGATTTTTTTATTGATAAAGGTAGATAATCTTATAAGGAATCTTGTGTTTCATTTTCAAATCTTAGATTTAAAAAGAAAATTTTTACGAATTCTTAACTCAAAATAATTTGCTAATTTTCGTGATTTTTCCATATTTTGTAAATTTTTAAACTTTAAATGCTTATAAAAAAAAATTGTGACTAAGGATTTTTAATATTTTTCATCTGCCTTTGAAACAACATATTAGGAGCCTTCTATTAAATTTTCAAGCTTTCGCAACCAACAAATAAAATTTTATTGATATTTCTAGAAAAAAAAACTAAAAAAAAATGAAAAATGAAAATGTCCCTAAACAGTTCAAAATAAATCAAAATATTTTGAAAATGTTATCGTGTATAGAAAATGCAAATATAAACAACCAGTGAAAATTTCATGTATCTACGGTCATTTGTTTTAAAGTTACACCAAAAACCAAATTCGATTTTTTGGAAAATCGATTTTGCGTAAAAATTCCCGTTTTTCCTTAATTTTTATGTTGTTTTTCCCGGCGCTTGTGAAAACTACTGGAAAATGTTTACTTTTGACCCCCCCCCCCCAAAGTACCAACTAGATTCACTTTCCTATCAGAAAAGGTACTATTGAAGAAAATCGAAGCACTTTTACTGTCCCAAAACGTGATGACAGACACAAAAATATAAAAATATAAATAAAAATATAAAAACATACATCATTGTAAAACCAATACATTCATCGCTCCGCTCAGAATCTAAAATTGAAAGCGGTAAATGTCCGTAAATAGCTCAAAAAGAGTCAAAATATTTTCAAAATTGTATGGTGTATAGGAAATGCTAATATAAAAATTCAGTGAAATTTTCATGTATCTACAGTTATTCGTTTTTGAATTACAACAAAATAAGGAAATCGCTACATGAGAAATCGAGTGAAAATCCAATGTTGTAAAAATTTGAATTTCAAACGCTCATAAAAATTTAATTTGACTGTCCGGTAGAGATTTTTTATTGATAAAGGTAGATAATCTTATAAGGAATCTTGTGTTTCATTTTCAAATCTTAGATTTAAAAAGAAAAATTTTTACGAATTCTTAACTCAAAATAATTTGCTAATTTTCGTGATTTTTCCATATTTTGTCAATTTTTGAACTTTAAATGCTTATAAAAAAAATTGTGACTAAGGATTTTTAATATTTTTCATCTGCCTTTGAAATAACATATTAGGAGCCTTCTATTAAATTTTCAAGCTTTCGCAACCAACAAATAAAATTTTATTGATATTTTTAGAAAAAAACTAAAAAAAAATGGAAAATGAAAATGTCCCTAAACAGTTCAAAATAAATCAAAATATTTTGAAAATGTCATCGTGTATAGAAAATGCAAATATAAACAACCAGTGAAAATTTCATGTATATACGTTCATTTGTTTTATAGTTACACCAATAACCAAAATCGATTTTTTGGAAAATCAATTTTGCGTAAAAATTCCCGTTTTTCCTTAATTTTTATGTTGTTTTTCCCGGCGCTTGTGAAAACTACTGGGAAATGTTTACTTTTGACCCCCCAAAGTACCAACTAGATTCACTTTCCTATCAGAAAAGGTACTATTGAAGAAAATCGAAGCACTTTTACTGTCCTAAAACGTGATGACAGACACAAAAATATAAAAATATAAATAAAAAGGTGGGCAAGTGGGTGTCGCTCTGCTGTACAGTAGGTTACAAGTGGGTCACTGTATAATGGATGGTATTAAATTTGAATTCAATGATATAATATCATTGTATAAGAAAAACGATTCTGAGCGGAGACGGTATGTCCTACTAGGTATAAGACATATTATATACATATTTATGGTATTAAACAAAAAATTGACCTATAATAGGTACCTATAATAAATTCCAAATTAA